TGAGAATCTCAAGGGCTATCGAAATATATATAAACTTAGATGCAATTGGAGTTTTAAGTACACAAAAGAATTAAAATTTTGTCTAATCTATATCGTATTTAGTTGGTGACCATACAAAAGTTTGGTCTACCATTTTTTAACAAATAGCAGCGAAGATATGATTTGGGTGCCTTTCAATTCAGGTTTTCATCGTCTATCTAGCAATGATCGAATGAACCTTATCTATTGTTTTAGTTAAGACAAAACACCAATTGCATGTGTCATTACGAATATATATAATCACAATAATGAACAACTACAAGGTCAAATTGGTGGTGGACTCAGCATAATGAGAGACGTTTATTTGAATAATCCAACACAGAAAAATAAACATTGTTATGAATTCGATGTATTGGCTGATGAAGATGAAAATATTATTCGTGATGGTTAAGGTATTTCAATTAGTGTTAATTCCCAGTCATACATAAATGATTCAGCAAATACAAATAAACCAGAATAAAATATATTTCAGTCATTGAATCATTTATTGCAACTAATCTGAATGATAACGACTTTGCTAGGTCTGTTGCTTTAATACTTCACAATCGAACTGAACAATTGGACTGAGTAGGCATTCTTCCCACTAAGAATTTTAAACTTCCTACTACCTAAGAACTTATATTTGTGTTTATATCGCTTAGGAAAAATTTAAGACAGTGCCCACCTACTAATGAAATCCTTCTTACGTGCACTAAAGTGCATGTCGGCATATGACATCTCTTCAATTAAAATCTCTTGACGTTCGTCAGGCTGATGAAATTTGAACATTAATAGAAAGCCGATGATATTTTTGAATTTCTCTCTCCACTATCATTATTTGATGTCATGATGTGTGTTTCGAATTTTATGTTTCTGACGTTCCATTTTTGATTTTATGTTTACAATCATCTAACTTTTAATAAGCGTTTTGTTAAATAAAAGAATGTAGATCGTCAGGCTTGTGCTCTATTACCAGTCGTGATGGTCCACGCGAGGTAGACCATCTTAATGACTAAATCACCAATAGAAATAATTCAAAAAAAAGTCGCTAGTTAGCCTACATTCATTGAAACAGCTTTATTTTTTAAATGTATTCAAACAAATGCGTTTCCTAAACATGTTTAAATGTCTTTAGAATTTAAAAAATAGTTGAACTATTTTTGAATAACATACATCTGAACAGAGTTATGCATGAATGTGTTTAAACGAATATCATACTTTATGTACTATTAAATTGATTTATTTCGAAAAATCAATTCACATCTTTGTTAATTAAGAATCTGTTGAAATTCATTTTACACTCTAAGAATGTTCAAGCTGATTACTGAAACAAAACATTTAAACGCATTTTACAATCTACTTGCATTTAAGAATTTTGCTTTACAAATGAGAAATTTTAATATTTATCAGATCAAGACATGTGGTTTGAATTTGTAAGTACAAAATTCATTTAGTAGGATCACAGTTCTCAGATTCACCCTGAAAGATTTTGCGAATTATCCTTTTACAACGATTTATAGACCACTATAAGTATTACAAATAAGACTGTAATAGTTTCTGCAGTATAGTTTGATAATTTTTTGCTAAAGTTGTAATAATTTTAGTACATAGTTCGAATGAAAAGAATCTTCTGCATTGTCTATCAGTTGTCTGTTGTGGTAGTAGTCGAATACACACAGATTTTGGATTTAGAGAAGCAGCATCACATTCTAACTCTAGATCAAAATCGTTAAAGTTAAATGATGACGACTGTAGTGTCGACGTAGTAATGACTGTAGTGACGACGTTTTGTTGATAAGTGTTGAATAATTTCGATGGTTGATTAGATGGCCATGAGGGTACTAAATCACTGATATTGAGCCTGGATTATCAGCGACGCTCAATAGGAATGATGTAAATAAAGTTGTTCGGGTGTTTCTTTCAATCGTATCCTTCTGTTTTATGCCAACACACCCTAAAGTAACATTAGTATGTTATTTAACAAGTGAATTTCTTGATGCTCTGGATTAACATGCAGCTCGTACTTTATGCCAAAGTAAATCTTTACAATTTCGATTATTTCTCTATTCTTTTGCTTTATATCCTTTAAGGTACAAAATTTGGTGCTATGTTTGATATATTAACTGATCGTTGTTCGACAATGTGTTTATGTTTTATATTGGCTATGTTTTATCCAAAATGGAGATTATTTTTCCAATTATGGGCTGCCATTGATGTTGCAAGTCATTGGCTTCATTTACATGTGGCAACGATGAAGGGCGAAGCTCACAAAACGATCAATCTTTCGGGAAATCCCGTTCTTCGTCTTTATTATACATCAGGAGTACGAGAAACAGTCCTGACTTCTTCAATTCAAATACCAAGAGATATTTTTTCTAATTATAGAAAGTTCTTTTCATCATGTGTGCTGGCAATGAACTTTGGTTTTCAGTGCTATACATGTTACATTTTACCGAAGGCTCATCATGTAGGTTATAACATATTTTCTATTGTTTGAAAATAGAATGAATTTATCTTTCTGTTTAGTAATTGATGTTGATAACTATGCTGCTGGTTTATTTCGTGCAATATTATATTTGACGACACCCATTATGATTGGTAAACAGAACATCAGTTTTATACATTTATATACAGCATCATTAAATATGGCCGCAATCGACGAAGATGAACGAGCAAAAGCGAAGTTAAAATAGTCGCCCAAAGAAAATAAACTGATTTTAGTGTAACTACACTCAAAATATAACACCGAACAAATATTTAGATTCACTATCCCACTTTCTATTTTGGTATTATGTGTGTGCAACTGTCTCGGTTATTTTTACTCGTCATATCGTACATTTTTCGTTGTTTATTATTCCTCGTACAGACCGAGCTGAAGTATTCAAGAAATTAGCCTGCAGAAGCTTGAGAATATCTGTAAAATGCTTTTGAGCTGTTAATTCATCGTTTCCTTATAAGTATCGGTGTCCCAGACAAAATCACACACTTTTTCTGTCATTTGCAATAATGATTGTTTTGATTAGCAAGTTGTTTGATATTTTTGCGGAAAAATGAAAGTTGTCCCAAACTCCTGAAACATACATCAACCAATTCAGTTTTTGATGCTGATTCCAAATATGATATTGGTTTTGCAAAAAATGGTAGTTTGACAGTGAAAACTGCAAAATAGAAGTGAATTTCCTTGTTTTCTGCTACCTGTTTCAAAACAATTTATTTTCTGAACAACAGAACAATATTTTCCAAAACCGATGCTTGAATTTTTTCTTGCTATTATGGCGAGTAGAATGATATAAAAATATTAGCTTCATCTCCTATCTAGAGAGACTTGAAGGTTTTTGCGTCAATATGAATCGGATCTCGGCTATTGGGAAAAACTAAACTTTTTTAGATCATATCATACTTGAATAGTATCGAAATGCTATTTTTCGGATTTAGTCTTTTACGGAGAACAAGAATAAAAAGCTTCTAAGGCTCCAAAACACATTGTGTTCGAGTTTTACGTTAGTTTTTAAAAATTAAGCTGTTTTTTAAAATTTTAAAATTTTCAGTATTTTTCAGGAATTCCAGCTACGAGGCAACCTTTCTAGGTGATAAATCGCTTTTCGACTGGGACTATTTTCGTCACGTAGGTCATAGTGAGCAATGAAAAAGTCCAAGTTGGTTTGAGCCCATAGTGCTTTGGAGTGGAGTTGAAAATTTTTCAAATTTTTTCCAAAAACTTAGTTTTGTCGGTGAATCTTTGATTTCTCGACCAAAAGAAACCCGATTGAGCTCATATTTTCATTGCAAGAAAATACTCTTCTTTGACTTTTTTCTGGAAAGATGTATTACGCAGAGCGTTTGCTAAATAAATTGTTACTTTATCTACGTCTTTTTTGTGTTCAGCAGCTGTACGACTTGTTTGCCTAATACTTTTCCAATATATTTATCCGAGAAATCTTTACAATTAATTTTTGACACGATTCTTGTTTTGTCGACAGTCTTTTATACCATTGTAAAGTAATATGTGGCTTGACCGACTAACGGTGGTAAGGAAATTAATAGCCTTTGAAAAACTGCTAATAGTTCATTGACTACATTTGACATTTCTCTACGAAATGGGATGCCCCAAGCATGAAATTTCATAAGAAATAAGCTAGCTGCTCTTGCTGAAGAAGCGCCTGCTTCTGCATTCACTGCAGCTAGCTAAAAGAGTAACATTTAGTTGGTGCAGCCAGCTGATCGGCATCCTCAACTGTATCTAAACCACTAGGTTTGAGATGGACTAGGAGAAAATTTTCACCAAAGTTCTTGAGGAAACCAGGAACCAGAAAATTTTCGAAAATTTTGTAAGTTCAAAACTAACAAATGTGAGACGACATTTTTGTTCAGTATTCGATCCTGATTCTGGCATGTGGGGTTTATTCGAAAATAGTTGGTGCGAGAAAAGTACGTTACCGTAACTTGTCCTCTAGACAAAACAACAACAACAAAGGAAACCTGATTTGAAAATTCTTTTTTTCTAATTTTTGCCAAAAAAAGGGAACGCCAAAGGAATTCGATTATTACCAAGAGCTAAAGCGAGTTTTCGTGATCGTATTTCACACACAACAAATAGCTGTATCTAACTTGCGCTGGGATAAACATATTAGATTCTAACTGTTAGTACTACACAAGAGTGATTTGCTATGGAACGCTAGCTATGGAAAATTCGAGAAAATAAATTGTAGAATGAAGCAAATCCGACTGGTATATTTTTCGTATCAACCAATTAAAACTCTCAATATGCCGACTGGTATATTTTGTAGAGCTATGCAACAAGCATGTGTAGAAATAATTTCCCAACAGTAGGGCTAATATTAGCTGAGAAAACGTAGTTTTTCGCATGTTTCACCACTGCAAACACTTTCTTTTCTCTAAGACGTATACCTTTTTCTGTTTGCATTGTTGCAAGCAACGAAGTACACAGTTCGAACCGGATACCAAAAACAAATCGTATGGTGTATAATAAGGCCTGGTTCGATTAACTTTTGATACTTTTATGCTTGGTTTTATATGGCCGGACATTTTCTTACGAATACTCTAACCAGACATTTTTATAGAAAAATTCACTTTTCTCGAGAAGCATAGTAGATTTTGAGCTAAAATTTCTAGTACATGAGTGATTCTGTGACAAAGCATCACCAGCTCTCCTATCTACCACTTGAGAATAGAAGGTGGGCAGTAACAAAATCTCATCTTCATCTGAAAACTGTAAATATGGTGTGACCACCCTACCATTTTCACATTCGATACAGAACAATGTTCAAGAATCAGATTCGCCAAGAAAAAAATCGACTACTGTAATTGACTCTGTAGCTACTGAAATCCCATCATGGATATGTATCAATTGATTTATACAAAAGCTTTCTACATTTTGACATACCGACTCAAACTCACTAAAGTCTGAGTTTTTCACTTTCATTAATTTGTCTAAACGGTCAGGTAAATCGTATACATCTTAGTACTCTCTTAGTATCTTAGTACTCTCGTCATAGTCAACTTTATCAACAACAAAGTTAATCCCAGCTGGTATTAATACTTCGTCTTCAGATGGAATCGCCGACATCGATGATGTATATATCCCAAAAGATTCTGTGAATGGTCGTTCGATGATATCAATAACAAATAAAGTCGAAGCTTCATCAGCCTCAGGATCGTTGTTAAATGTGTCTGCTGGTTTTCGGGTTTTGAGAAATGGGAAGCAGTAGAGTCCGAAAGCATTTTGGGGAGTTAACATACAACAACCGCTATTGAACTGATTAGCCCACTCCCAGTGATATTTAGTGGAACCGCCAACTCCTGTGAATGTTTTAGCAGGCAGATCAATCATAGTGAATCGCTGTACAACCCAACAAGTGCGTTTGCATTTTATTTTTCAAATCAATACAATAGGTTTTGAGTAAAACTTCTTTTTTCTTTTGTTCATAGGCGTGATTTCATTGTCAATATTGGAGAAACGAGACCATTCTTCGAGTTCAGTCTCTGACCACGGAATCGGGTTGGACTTCCAAAACCACCACATACTTGTGTTATTCTCAGTAGAAACCATGACCATTCTCCATGACCATTTCTATAGTTAATATTTTACAAATTGAATTATAGCTTCTATGTTAAAAAGAAAATTATTTCATCAAACACAATTTTGAGCAGCCGAAGAGAAACTCTCTTTCTGTTAATGTTTTTCCACTTGAAAGGAAGAGAACAGAATAATTCGAAGAATGTCTTGTGCAAGGAAAGTTGAAGGTGTGTAAAAGTAAAAGTTGAAATATTATTTTTCTTTTCTCATCCTCTTCACTTATTTTTATAACAGCAAAAATTTTATTTATGTTTCTAACTGTGTTTCGTCTAAATGTTAATGTACTCTTTTACCTCAAGAAAATATCACTCATTATGTCCTTAATGGAAAATCCCTCAACTTAACGAGTTGGATGGAAATGAATTAGAGAGTGTCCGTTTCTACTTTTTATCCCCACTGGAAGAAAAACTGTTCCGCATCATGCAAAAATATTGTTCAAAAATAGGTCTCGTCTGGCGTTTGAGATATAGGACCACCAATGTCATTACTTGGCTCCGTCAAAACATAGAACTTTTGTTTTTCATTGATTAGTTAGATCAGTTTTAA